AGAAGTTCTCATGTGTTCTGACATATTTTGAAATAGTCATGCACATAGATGCAAAATTACAACTGTTAAAGGTTATGATGAATTAAGAGTATCTCTGGGTGTGAAATTTAACATGGTACAACTGTAGCATCTAACAGGGTTCTCTGACTCAGTCTAGAGGGTCAAGAAAAGTTTCTCTGAGGAAATAGTAATTGAGTATAAATATGAATAAGTAAAATTATTTAGGTGAAAAAGACTGTTCTAGATTGAAGGAACAATATATGGAAAGAGCCTGAGGTGAGAGGAAGCACTCCATGTCTGAAGACACAGAAGAAGGGTGGTGTTAGAAGAGAACAAAGTGGAGCCCCACAGTACAATAAGCTAGAGAAGGAGACATAGCCACATTCTACTGGGCTTTGTAGGCCACATAAAGGATTTTGGCTTTTATTCTAAGAGCAAATGGAGGCCACTGAATGACTTTAAGAAGAGTGACGACATGGGTTAACTTTTTTTTTTTTTAATGGAGATGGGGTCTCACTATGTTGTCCAGGCTGGTCTAGAACTCCTGGGATCAAGTGATCTGTGCACCTCAGCCTCCCAAAGTACAGGAATTACGGGCATGAGCCACTGCTCAGCCAGGATTTACATTTTCTAAAAACTCACGGTAAAATGGGGAGAACAGATTTGGAAGAGGAAAGAGTGGATATATGAAGATCAGCTAGAAGGCTACTAAAGTAGTCTAGGCAATATCTTAATCTGAAAAGATAAAAGAGAAAATAAAGAAAAATGAATGGATGGGAAATGTATTTAGGAGTGCAAAACTGACCGAACTTAAGTCAACGGAGGAAATGAGAAAGGAAGACTCCTGAGATGACCCAGGTATATGGCATGTACAATTAGAAGGATAGAGAATACTGAAAGAAGATCAAATTTGCTGGGAGGAGAGGAGAAATCACAGGCTCAATTCTGGACATGTTGTGTCTGAGATGCCTTTGAGATATGTAAATGGCAATCAATGAGGCAGTAGGATATAGTCAGCCCTCTGTATTCAGAGGTTCTGCATTTGTGGATTCAACCAACAGCATATGTAAAATATTCAAGAAAAACAAATGGATGGTTGTAACTGTGCTAAACATGGACAGATTCTTTTTCTTGCCATTATTTCCCTAAACAATACAGTATAACAACTATTTACATAGCATTTACATTGTATTAGGTATTGTAAGTGACCCAGAAATTATTTAAAGTATACAGGGGGATGTGCATAGGTTATATGCAAATACTACATCATTTTATATAAGGGACTTGAATATTCTTGAATTTTGGTATCTGAGAGGGGGTAGTGGGTAGGGTGTCCTGGAACCAATCCCTGAGGATACCGAAGGACAACTGTATACAGTTGTAGAGTTGTACAACTGTAGAGCTCAGAGAAGAAGTCTGGACTAGAGATAAAACTTCTGAATTGTTTGAGAATAAACAGTAAGCAACAGATACCAGAGGAAATAACATGAGGAAAAAAAAAAGACCACCAAGGACTAAGCCTGAGGAATTTCAACATCTAATTAACTGATAGAAGTGGGTGAATCTGTACAGGAGATTAAGAAAGAATAAATGCTGAGAAAGGAGAAAAACAGGGATAACATGATGTCACAGAAGTCAAGGGAGGAGAGAGTTGTAAGAAATTCATTAATTGTGCTGCATAGCACTAACAGGTCAAGTAAAATAAAGACTTAAAAGTCCACAGGCTTTAATAACATGAAGATCATTACTAACCCTGACAAGACCCACTTCAGTGGTGTGACAGGGGTGGAAACTACAACGAAGGAAGTGTATAGAATAAATGGGAGATGCTGTGGTAGTTAAAAAAATTCTGGCCGGGCACAGTGGTTCACACCTGTAATCCCAACACTTTGGAAGGCTGAGTCAGGTAAATAACGAAGTCAGGAGTTCAAGACCAGCCTAGCCAACATAGTGAAACCCCATCTCTACTAAAAATACAAAAATTAGCCGGGCATGGTGGCGTGCCTGTAGTCCCAGCTACTCAGGAGGCTGACAGGAGAATGGCTTGATCCCAGGAGGTGGAGGTTGTGGTAAGCCAAGATCGCACCACTGCACTCCAGCATCGGCAACAGAGCAAGACTTGGTTTCAAAAAAAGAAAAAAAGAAAAGAGATTCTATTTTATGAAATGTAAGCCCATTTAAAACAACCTGGGCACCCCACTAAAAAGTCTCTTTTGAACANAAAAAAAAAAAAAAAAAAAAAAAAAAAAAAAATTCAATATCCACCCTAAAGATGTTTATTTTAAGAAAACAAAACGTTCATGCCTGTAATCCTAGCACTTTGGGAGGCCGAGGCAGGCAGACTGCCTGAGCTCAAGAGTTCGAGACAAGCTTGGGCAACATGGTGAAACCCTGTCTCTACTAAAATACAAAAAAAAATTAGTTGGGTGTAGCGGTGTGCGCCTGTAGTCTCAGCTACTTGGGAGGCTGAGGCAGAAGAATTGCTTGAACCCGGGAGGCAGAGGTTGTAATGAGCCGAGATTGTCCCACTGTACTCCAGCCTGGGTGACAGAGCGAGACTGTCTCTTAAAAAAAAAGTAAAACTTACTAAGAGATTGTAAAACACAGACACAATGCTACAGTTTTGCTTATTCTTTAAATGCAATAAAAATCCAAAAAAGGAAGGCTCAAAGTAGCTGAGTAACCCTGGAAAGTCTTTATAGAGAACAGTCTTAAGCAGAGTACTTAAGACTCTGAGTGATTGAAAATGTTCAATCTAGAAATATTAAATGAGAAAAATACATGATGTGTATGTTGGAGAGGGAGCTGGAATTGGGATGGGCTGGAGTGATTAAAAAAAGCCAAGAGATGTAGTCTGCCGATTTGCAATATAGGCTCAATACTGAATTATTTAGGACTAGATAGTCTGGGCCCTAATGTCTCCTTTTTGCTGTCAACCTGGAGGCCAATTGATTAGACTAGAGGGTTCAAAGAGAAAAGGGAATGTAAGAATCATAAATCTATGGTGTTGCTCACTAGTTTTGGATGATGCTACATAAAAGGTAGGGATGAGTAAATTGGCTAAAATGTAATTTTATATTATTTGTGATTTTTAGGCAGTTGAGTGGAGTGGAAAAGAACACAGACTTTATAAAACAAAATCTGCAGTCTGGAAAAAATATATATATATTTAAAAAATAAAGACTTCAGAGCCAGAGGGAATCAAGTGTGAATACTAACTCTGTCACTTACTATATATGTAGCTTTAGAAATGCAATCAATCTCTGCAACTTCAGTTTTTCATTTATAAAATAGGGAATCAAGTTTCTTAGCAAAGTTGTTTCTGGATTTAGAGATGAGATGGTAGTGCTTGATTCCTAAGCATGTAGTAAATGGTGGCTAATACAGTTGTATTAATACTATATGAGAAAACAGGAAATACAGTCAAACAGATAAACTTGTATACATAACATGGGGACATATTGTTTACTGGTGGGCCCTAATCTCTGTTTTCTGTAAGTATTTAGTAAGTAAAAAGCATCAGACAGTAAGGTATAGTTTTGGGACCTACTGTGAAATCAACATAATCTGTCTCACAGACTTTTACAACTAATAACATTACATATATAACCATTCAATAAATATTTAGCAAGTTAAAATATATTCTTACTTTATATTTTGCGGATATGGGGGCTCCCTCTATTGCCCAGGCTGGAGCACCGTGGCACAACTATGGCTTACTGAAGAACTCGAATTCCTGGGATTGAGCAATTCTCTCAATTTAGCCTCTTGAGTAGACAGGACTACAGGTGCATGCCACCATGCCTGGCTAATTTATTTATTTTTTGTTGAGATGGGGTCTTGCTATGTTTACCAGGCTGGTCTTGAATCCCTAGTCTCAAGCAATTTTCCAATCCTGAACTACAAAAGTGCTGGGATTACAAGTGTGAGCTACCGTACCTGGCCATGTTATGGCTAATTTTGTAAACGAGAGAGACAAAAGAAGAGAAAAAAGGGAAAAAGTAAACCAAAAGAATAAAAAAGGCAAGCTGGGCGCAGTGGCTTATGGCTGTAATCCAAGCACTTTGGGAGGCCAAGCCGGGCAGATCACCTGAGGTCAGGAGTTCAAGACCAGCCCAGCCAACATGGTAAAACCCCGTCTCTAGTAAAAATACAAAAATCTGCTGGCTATGGTGCTGCGTGCCTATAATCCCAGCTACATGGGAGGCTGAGGCAGAACAATCACTTGATACCAAGAGGTGAAGCTTGCAGTGGGCCGAGATCACGCCATCACACTCCAGCCTGGGCGACAAGAGCCAAACACACACACATACTCTCTCTCTCTCTCTCTCTCTCTCTCTCTCTCACACACACACACACACACACACACACACACACACACAGAGAGAGAGAATAAAAAAGGCAACTGTAGTTAGTTAAGGGCAAAAAAAAGAACACAGGAGAAGAAAGGTTAAAGGGATCAGAGAGACGAGACAGGCAGATAGAGAAGAGACAAGAGCTGAGACAGGGAGAATCTGCCTAGATTGCCTGGATCCTTTCATAGCCCTCCCCTCACTATTTCTATTTGATAGTCCAAACCAAAGCAGTCTAAGCCTCCTGCTCTGCCAAGCCTGCTTTTCCTTTACCTGATTGTGCCACTGCTGTCATCTCTTGCCCAGCATGCCTTCCCTCATAGGAGTCTCCTAATCAGTACTTAACTACAGACTTGGTATAACCATACAGTGTTCTATGCCACTTCCTCTGTCTTAAAAAACAAAACAAAACAAACAACTCCTATACTTGCACCTGCTAAACTAAGAACACCTTGTGACAGAAATGAGGACGTATGCTTATAGAACACCGGGATCTTCTTTGGGAGTAACTTTTAAGAAATGCCTTTGAAAAACTTTATCATTTTAAGAGAGAAAAAGATGGATGAAATGTAAGAAAATATGCCAAAAGCTAAATGAAAAACCCACCCCAAGAGGACTAACCCCAATTTATTTAGTATCTCTTCTTACTGTGTGCTGAGGGCCATCTTCATTATCCCTCATGTAGAAAGGCTTGAGTGCTAATGGATAATTAATGACGAAGACGGGTATGTTGCCACAGTGCTTCACCAGGTACTTTTCATGTTCAGTTTGTAGATCAATACCCCACTGTAATGAGAAGAAAAAAATGACTAAAGGAGAAGACAGAGGTTAAATATACAACTAAGCACCTGAAAATAACCTGCATCAGTTCCAAGGGCTTCATCTTCCTGAGGCTCCATGTATGGAGCTGGCTGCTAAGGTCACACAGCTGACTAAACTAGAGAGAGATTTGTTAACAAGAATAACTGCAGGCCTGGAAAGATGAAAGCTGAAGCCAGTAGATAAACACTATCCTTTCTGTGTCCCCATCACTCCCCTACTCCTACCCACCAGGAGCAGATAAATAGCTCCTGCAGGAAAACAAAGTCTACTTTACAAGGGGATTAAAAAAACAAATACACACCTGACTGCAGAATCACAGTTTTTATTAATAGTGCCTAGAGCTTCTTCCACAGTTACTGTTCCTATGTCTCAGGAAATTAAATGATAGAAGATAATATTCCTAATATTGAGCCTATCTTTGGCTAAATGACTTCTCTTGGTGACTTTTTTTTTTTTTTTTGAGACACAGTCTTGCTGTGTCACCCAGGCTGGAGCACAGTGGTGTGATCTCGGCTTACTGCAACCTCTGCCTTCTGGGTTCAAGTGATTCTCCTGCCTCAGCCTCCCAAGTAGCTGGGACTACAGGTGCCCACAACCAGGTCCGGGTAGTTTTGTCCTATTAGTAGAGACAGGGTTTCACTATGTTGCCCAGGCTGGTCTTGAACTCCTGACATCATGATCCACCTGTCTAGGCCTCCCAAAGTGCTGGGATTATGAGTATGAGCCACTGCACTGAGGTGGCGACTTCTTTTTAAATAAGAGTCAACTCATGTATCAGATGCTCTTTGATGAATATTTATTAACTCTGTTCAATATATTTATTAAGCAAATACTAATATGCCTATTAAATTCTAGGTACCATATGATGTACTGGATGTAGTGGTAAGAAAAATAGTTATAAACCCTGACTTCATGAAGCTTCCAGGGTAGGAGACAAAGAAACAAAAACTTAAACAAAGAATTCATTATAAATAAAACAAGCACAGGTTACTTTTGTAACACATGAAGAGCTGACTTAATTGGGATTAAACTGGTACAAGGAATAGTTTAAACACAAAGGTTTACACATTATCTTATTATTCCCACTTGTTTGGCAGTATCTTAGTTATAGGAAAAAATGATTGGAATAAGAACAAAGAGTTTTGCCTTCAACACTATACACATGCCCACTGATAGATCATGTGGTCTCTCTGAACCTATATTGTTGCTAACAAAACAAAAAAGCTTGGCCGGGTGTGGTGGCTCACGTTTGTAATCCCAGCACTTTGAGAGGCCAGGGCAGGTGAATCACAAAGTCAAGAGATCAAGGCCATCCTGGTCAACATGGTGAAACCCCATCCCTACTAAAAATAAAAAAATTAGCTGGGCATGGTGGCACGTGCCTGTAATCCCAGCTACTCTGGAGGCTGAGGCAGGAGAACTGCTTGAATCTGGGGGGCCGAGGTTGCAGTGAGCCAAGACATGCAATTGAACTCCAGCCTAGAGTAAATACAGAGAGAGACTCTGTCTCAAAAAAAAAAAAAAAAAAAAAGCCCAAAAAAAGAGAAACTCTTAATCAAAAAAAAAAAAAAAAGCTCTGGCCCAGCACAGTGGCTCATGTCTATAATCCCAGCACTTTGGGAAGCTGAGGTATGCCAGATTAGCCTAGGCAACATAACTTTGTCTCTACAAAAAATAAAAAAAAAAAATTATCTAGGCCTGGTGGCATGCACTTGTAGTCCCAGATATTTGGGAAACTAAGTCGGGAGGACTGATGTGAGCCTGGGAGGTAGAATCTTGCAATAAGCCATGTTTGCACGAGCCTGGGCAACAGCGAGATCCTTTCAAAAAATAAAAATAAATAAAAAAAAAGGAGTTCCTTCACAGAAACAGTGGTTGCCCGCATTCTAGGAATGGCGCAAATGAGGTAATATTGATGATCAAAGTGTACACACTGTTAGTTGTAAGATGAACAAGTTTTCAGAATCTAATGTACAGCGTGGGTGGTGACAGATGTGTTAATTAATTTGATTGTCATAATCTATTATACAATGTACATGTGTATCAAATCGTCATGTTGTATACCCTGAATATACACAATCTTTTGTTGTTGTTGTTCTTAGAGACAAGGTCTTCCTCTGTCACCTAGGCTGGAGGGCTGTGGTCAATCCTGGCTCACTGCAGTTTTAAACTCCTGGGCTCAAGCAATTCTCCTACCTTGGCCTCTTAAAGTGTTGGGATTACAGGCTTGAGCCATCACACTGGGCCTATACAATCTTTATTTATCAAAGTATTGAAAAAAGAAAAAAAAAAAAAAAGAATTCTTGGCTGGGTAATGAGGCATGCTCCTGTAGGCCCAGTTACTTAGGAGGTTGAGGTGGGGGATCCCTTGAGCCCAAGAGTTCAAGATGAGCTTGGGCAACATAGTGAGACCTCCATCTCTTAAATATAAAGTTCTTTAAAAGTAAAACAAAACAAAACAAAACAAAGCAAATCCCAGTGTTTTCCAGAGTGGCTCACAAACTAAAAGGCTGTATAAAGTTTAACTGAAAGACAAACCTGTTTTAGCAAGCACTAAGTCTGAAAAAGAAAAGAAAAAAGAAAAACAAATCTGTTTAGTTATGTTGCCTAAAGTTATTTGGTAATATAATTTCTTTGGTTGGTCATCTTTTAATGTCATTCAGAATATACTTTGGAAAACACAGAACTAGTTGACTCTGGTCTTGAACTTCTGGGCTCAAGCAATCTGCCTGCCTTGGCCTCCCAAAGTGCTGGAATTACAGTCGTGAACCCCCACACCTGGGATCTACAGTAATAGTCTATGATTATCTTTCTTTTTTAGAATTTTCACGTTCCTAAACATGGGAGATTCCTTTATAACTTCTTACAACCCTTTATAATTTTATAACTATTCCAAAAGATAGTTTATTTTTATTCTAAATTAATTTCCATATTAAGTATCTCAACAAGATTGAGCAAACATCAAACAAAATCTGTAAGTTTTTGTACAAATGAACAAATACCATATTTTGCTAATAAGATAAATAAGATTATTTTGAAGGATTCTTAATAAAGTAGGTTAAAGATAAGAAGGAAACATTTTCACACACATACACACAAAATACCACCTCTGGGGTAAAGGTGAAGTTCTGGGATGCTTGCTTTAAGATCTCCACTGCTTCAGTGTAAGAAATGCTGGAGGAAAACAATATAGAAGCAGAAAAAAGTCAATACAATAGGGTTGCTAACTAGTTCATTTTAAAACTAGAAAAAGCCTATTCCTCTATCACACTGTGAGGTCATGAGGAAGTACTGAATAATCAGGAATTAAGGCCGATCTAATCCTATGAAGTCTGAACTGCCTGAAGAGAAGTGACCATTCAGTGACCTCACTCCGCATCTACTTGCAATATACATAGAGAAGCTAGTCACGTAAGCAAGCAGAGACTATTTTCTGAATCCATGATATGCCAGTGCCCTAATACAAGGTATAAAATACTAAGACTACAACCGCAAAAGACTTTTTCCTACAATTCACCATTCATTCATTTATTTATCCAACAGACATATACTTGGCATCTACTAGGCACTAGACATAACTCTAGGCACTGGAGATAAAAATAAAGCTCAGCCATCATGGAGCCAACATTCGTGTGTGTGTGTGTGTGTGTGTGTGTGTGACAGAGAGAGAGAGAGAGACAGGTGAGGAGACAGGTAAATAAACAGGAAGCTATTAGTGCTATGAAGTAAACTAAAGTGGGGTAGGAAGACAGGGGTTTGGGGTGCCATTTTAGATATCATGGTCAAGAAAGGCCTAAGTTTGTGACATTGGAACAGAAGCGTGCATTGAGTAAGGAAATTAACCAAACACGTATCTTGGAAGGAGTATTCCAGGCAAAAGGAACAGCAAGTACAAGGCCGTGAAGTGAGAAACAGTTTGGCTTGTTCATAGAAAAACGTCAGTCAGTGTGACTAGAGCATACTGAATAAGAAGAAGAACGCACAGGAAATTACTCAGGAAAGGCAGTCAGTCAGATCACATGGATTTTTTCACATCATATTAAGGGCCTGCTAATACATTCTAAGCATTATAAGGCTATTTAGAAAAATACAGAGTCTCTCAATGAGACAACCTCATACCTAAAGTAAGTCAAAGCAAGTATTTGTTTTAATTTAACTATGTGAATAGTTATCTACATAGTTAAAAAAAAAAATCAAGATGTATAAAAGAGTATATATCTCCCTTCCATTGCGATTCCAGAGACACCTACCTCCTTTTATTTCACACAATCACTGTTACCAATATTGTGAATATTCCTCCAGAGTATTTGATTTATATAAATATGTAAATATTAATACACAATCTTCCTTTTTTATAAATGTCATACATATCATACACACTTTTACACCTTATTTTACTGAGCAATGTACCTTGCAGATTTATGTGTACATGAAAAAATTCTTCATTTTTTAATATTCCATTTTGTGGATGTATCATAACTAGTTTAACCAGTGACCTGGTATTTCACATTCTAATCTTTTGCTATTATACCTCATGCCTACATATACCTATTTAATGTTACTGCAAAAAGTTCATATACACTAATTTTGCACATGGAAAAAGTGGAATTGTTAGATGAAAATTTGCGATTTTTACATTTTCTGAAAGGTTTTGCAAAAGATACTGCCCCCTTTTATACGAATTTATACCCACCAGTAACATGAAAGTGTCAGTCTGCTTGTAAACTATAGGTAATATACTGCTTAGTATTTTGAGATTTTTTACAAAAAATCTACAAACTTTCTGAAAGACCTCAAGCTTAAAAAATAATTTATCCAGAATAAACTTATTCTCTGACACAAAAAATGAAGTTCATATCCATAACAACTAAATAGACAGAGTAGTATTGGATCTTATGATAAAACCCCTAAAGCTGTGTTTTGAAAGACAGGTTTTCTCCCAAGATGGAAATTCTGTTCAAATTTAAATGTAGTATTAATAATAGGTAATTTCTAAGGTAATAACGGTGGTGGTAGTGGTGTTTGTATTAGCAGTAATAACAATTTTAAAATTAGCATTTTACAGAAGGGACACAGAAGGTTACAGAGGATCAGTGACTTTCCAAAGGTCACTCATGTAAGTAAATAGTAAATCTTGATCTGCTGACTCCAGAGTTTAAGTTTTTAATTGCTAAGATAATGCCTAAAATACTTGGAGTTTCATATGTTCCATCAAAACAAAACAAAATGGGCTCTGGGTTCTCCATCTGATTCTACCACTAGCTATGTAAGTCACTTCAATGTAGTGAAAGCATGTTATTAATTTTTGTAATGTGTTATACAAAAATCTAAAAAGTATTTGCACTTGTAAAATAAGGACATTGGACTATCTTGTATAAAGTTCTTTTCTGCTCAGACATTCTATTGTTCTATTATATAAATTACTTGGTATGATCTACCGATCACACTGAGAAATGTAAGAACAGTTAAAACAACAAGCAGTAGGATTTTATACCACTGGCACGTTACTGTTTCATTACTAAGAAATGACTCTCTTATCTAAATATCTTGTTATTCCACATCTTCCATTCCACTCCCCCATACCTTCATTAGAGGCAGAACTTTCAAGTTTAAATTACAAGTCTGACACTTGATATCCTTAATGGCTTCCATCAACTCTCTCTACTAAGTATTTTTCTTGATAAATATAGAAAATAATATCTCTTGTCCTTCCCAGAAACTGTTTCCAAAGTGCTTTGAGGAAAGGAGGAAAAAAACATTGTGATAGAGAATGATATGGCATCAAACCACCTCATATTTCACATTTTTTATTGTTGAATAAAGAAAATTCATTATTCTGAAGCTATTGGAGTAAACTTGCTGAAGTACGAAGATAATTATTGTCATCCTTTGCCTCAAATTCACACAGAAAGATAAATAAAGAGCAGATAAAAAAGGTAAGTACTCTATGTTTTCAGAACCACAATACTATAAAGGAAATGTAAAATAAACTGAATACAATTTCTGCATGATAAAGGTTAAATTCAATTACTACATGAGTTGCTGAAATAGCATATATTCATATAAAATAATTATAACAGGTAGTGAAAATACACTGAACTCTACTCAAAAGAATACAAGTCATGCGGTATCTACACAGATTCAATAATTAAAAGTGCACTCTGCATAAAGGGCAACAATTTCTGTTTTGCCATTTCTTGTTTTTTCTTTTCTCTACTGTTTTTTAGGATTAACTCAACAGTACTTCAGCTACATCACTATTTTCAGAAATTTCAATGTCAATGCCTTAAAAAGCATGAAGCAGCAGAAAGGTGATGACAAGGTGGTAGGGAGGACACCACACAATCTATTTCTCAGTTTGATATCTTTGACGTTGCTGACTTAACAATCACTTTCGTCACACCACCACCATTTCACTGTGCTTTTAGTGGCTACCCTGAACATTTTAACATGCATATCTGACTTAAGTTTAAAGCAGCCAGGTGTGGTGGCCTGCACTAGTTGTCCCAGTTACTCCAGAGGCTGAGACAGGAGGATCGCTTGAGCCCAGGATTTCAGGACTGCAGTGAGCTATGATCATGCCACTGCCCTCCAGCCTGGACAACAAAGCAAATTCCTGTCTCTTANTCTAAAGTTCACCAGTTTCTCTCTCTTCCTTTCAAACGACATAAGTACTAACACTTTAACTATGAACATACCTCTCGAGTTTTATAAGTTATTGCTGCCCAATATTTCAGTTCTGAGGTAACGGGTATTTTCCTTCAACTGTGTGAAGACACTTTTTTAATCAATTTATTTTGATTACTATTTTTTGAACCTCTTCGGAATCTAATGCTGTTTGTTGTGCCTGCTGTTCTTCCTCATGGGTAGGTTATTTCCCTGCGTATTTGGTCTGTGAGATTATCTTCAGTAGTTTGTTTTAGGAATTATCATGCCACTTGGGTTAAGGGTGCAAATTTTAAGATTGGTTTTATATTGGTTTCTACAGCTACTCCAGGGTTACCACTAACTGAAGACAATTTCTTTTTTGAGATCGAGTTTTGCTCTTGTTGCCCAAGTTGGAGTGCAATGGCGCGATTTAGGCTCACTGCAACCTCTGCCTCTCATGTTCAAGTGATTCTCCTGCCTTAGCCTCCCAAGTAACTGGGATTACAGGCACACGCCACCATGCCTGGCTAATTTTTTGCATTTTTAGTAGAAACAGGGTTTCACCATGTTAGCTAGGCTGGTCTTGAACTCCTGACCTCAGGTGGTGATCTGCCAGCCTCTGCCTCCCAAAGGGCTAGGATTACAGGTGTGAGCCACTGTGCCCAGCCAACAATTTTTTATTTTAATGTCCTGGCATGAAGATTCTTAAACTACACAGGAAACATAAATTCAAACTCTAGGCTCACTTAAGGGCCAAGTGTGGCTGCAAATTCTTAATGGCGACCATTTCTGTTTTGCCTCTATCCTTAAGCCCAGGCTAAAGCAGATATACTTCTTTGTAAATTCTCTATGCTGGCTAGCTCAATTTTCTGTTTGTTTGCTTATTTTCTAATTGGCCCTTTCATTAAGGGTATAGTCCTTGGCCAGTTCTAGCTTTGTGTGTGTGTGTATGTGTGCATTTCAGGGGACACCTCGATTCTAATTCATTATGCTACATCTATTCTCACGTCTTCTCACGGCTGTTAAAATCTCTGGTTTCGAAGATTGGAAAATCGCCCTCCAGCTTCCCTTCCCTATACCCTGTGAATATTCAACATCACACCAACTGCTGGTGTTTGGTTCCTTCTTCATTTCTAGCACCTGGAACTTCTATTTTCTAGTGAATTAAAAAACATATTTAAAAGAATCTTATAATATTTTAACTATTATTTTTAGATGTTTTATAGCAAGAGTGTTTTCAAGTTATCTAGTCTGACATATTGCTTGCAATAGAATCGTCATTTAATCCTTTCAACAATATAAGACAGAGTATTTTTTATAGATGAGGAAATTGAAGTTCAGGAAAGTTAAAGATTTACTATTAAGTTCACAGTTGTAATTAAATTATTCATACAAATATTTAACTGCTCATTTTTTCTCTAGATTTTAAACTCCATAAAAGTACAAATCAGTATTTGTTTTCATTATTCTCAACAACCAGCAAAGTGCCTAACTCATATTAGGTAGTCAATAAATATTTGTTGAAAAACATTAATTTACTCATTAATGGCTAGTAAATGGTAGGGCCAGGATTACAATCCAGGTTCTCTGAATCATGATTCACTATCCTCACTAACTGAAGTAAATAGTGATGTGAGCCAATAAGAAACCTCAGGAGAGGATCCAGCCTAAAGAAGAATACCTTTTATGGTCAGTTACTCAAGTCATTTGTTGCTCCACTCAGTTACTCAGTATTTACTGAGTGTCTGTTAGAGGCACTGTGCTAAGTCCTAGGGGTATAATAGTGAGCAATTTAAACCACCTCTGACCTCACAGAGGTAGGAGACATCAAACAAATAATCATACATATAAATTTATATTTAAAAATGTTTGGCTGGGCGTGGTGGCTCACGCCTGTAATCCCAGCACTTTGGGAGGCTGAGGAGGGTGGATCACGAGGTCAAGAGATCGAGACCATCCTGGTCAACATGGTAAAACCCTGTCTCTACTAAAAATACAAAACATTAGCTGGGCATGGTGGTGCGTGCCTGTAATCCCAGCTACTCAGGAGGCTGAGGCAGGAGAATTGCCTGAACCCAGGAGGCGGAGGTTGCGGTGAGCCGAGATCGCGCCATTGCACTCCAGCCTGGGTAACAAGAGCGAAACTCCGTTTCAAAAAAAAAAAAAAAAAAAAAAAAAAAATTTTTTTAAAAAAAAAAAAAAAAAAAAAAAAAAAGTTTGAATTTTTAATTAACAAATACTGTATACATTTACAGGATTCAATGTGATTTTTTATATTATACAATGTGGAATGAATATATCAAGGTAATTAACATATCTATCACCTCACATGCTTCATTTTATTTTTTGTAGTGAGAACATTTAAAATCTACTCTTTTAGCAATTTTGAGATATACATTATAATTAATTATGGTCACTTTGTTATGCAATAAATCTTGAAAGCTTACTCCTCTGGTCTAACTGGAACTTTGTACACCCATTGGTCAATTTCTTTCCATTCCCTTCCAGAACTGCCCCCTCCTGCCACTGGTAGCTACCATTCTACCATTACTTCTGTAAGTGTAACTTTATTATACTTCACATCAAAGTGAATCATGAAGTATTTGCCTTTCTGTGCCCAGCTTCTTTCACTTAGCATTATGTCTTGCAGGTTGATCCATGTGGTCACAAATGAGATTTTCTGTGAACAGTATTCCACTGTGTATATACACATTTTCTTTATCCAGTCATCCACTGATGGACACTTAGGTTGATTCCATATCTTGGCTACTATGAATAGTGCTGCAATAAACATGTAAGTACAGATATCTCTTTGACATATTGACTTCAGTTCTTCTGGATATGTACCCAGAGGTGGAACTGCTGAGTCGTACGGTAAATATAGTTTTAGTTTTTGGAGAAACCTCCATACTATCCTCCATAACAGCTCTATTAATTTACATTCCCACTAACAGTATACAAGGGTCCCCAAGCTCTACATCTTTGCCAACACTTGTCATTTGACTTTTTCTTTTTTTTTTGAGACAGGGTCTTGCTGTCTCCCAGGCTGGAGTACAGGAGTCTGTGATCATAGCTAATGGCAGCCTTGACCTCCTGGGCTTAAGCAATCCTTCCACCTTGGTCTCCTGAGTAGCTGGCACTATAGGCATGTCTCACCATATTTGGCTAATTTAAATTTATTTATTTATTTTTTTGTAGAGACAGGGTCTCACTATGTTGGTCTCACTTGAACTCCTGGACTCAAGTGACCCTCCCACTTTAGCCTCCCAAAGTGCTGAGATTACAGCCACGAGAGCCAACGTGCGAAGTCTCCTTCTACTTTTTGATAACAGCCATTCTAACAGGCATGAGGGGATGTCTCACTGTGTTTTTAATTTGCATTTTATTGATGATTAGTGATGTTGGACATTTTTTGATAAACCTAATGGCCATCTATATCTTGCTTGCCTGAGCAAAGCATGAGGCTAGGTGGGGTGGCTGCCCTGCAGGGGTTCCAACCAGCTAGACCTTCCTATTGAGCTTCTGCAGCAAACAGATGGGCTTTGTAAATGGGCTATGCAGTTGGCTGGTATCTTTGATCAGGTGCTGCTGGTGGTGGGAACACAGTTATCACCAAGATTCCTGTGCTGTGTGCTGTGTGCTGGTTGCCCTGAGCACAGCCCTGTTTGTTTCTACCTAACCCCAGGTAGTCTAGACCTTACCCCCAGGGTTCCCTGTGAGACAGGAATGGGCCCCCAGGGAAGCATCACAGAATGTTAGGGAAACCGGACAGCTGTCTCTTTTGCCACTGCATTAACTGTGGGACCAAGGGAATCTTCTCTTTGTGGTGCTGTGCCTACTTAAGGGAGGGAGGGGTCAATTAAAGTGAGACCACTGCTCCTACCCTTCTAATTCAGTTTTTTGCTCTGTGGTCCATTTGGATATCTCCATTTCATTCCCAAGTTTTGGGATTTTCACAGAGGTGTTCCTGTATGTGGTTAATTGCTAACTGGACTTTCCGTGGCGAAGCCTGGGACCTTCCATTCATCATCTTGCTGATGTTCCTCTCCCCACAAATTTAAACTGCAACTATGATTTGTGTTATGCAGAATGGATCGTGACTGTGACAATGGATCAAAATGGCACAGCCGATGATGTCATTTTCCAACCTTAACATTTTACAAACAAGGACTCCAAAGCACAAGAGTTAAGTGACATGTAAGAGTCATAAGGACAACCGGGCAGCTATAACCACTCTACCCTTTATTCCAGTGCCCTTCCAAATATATGAAAACCCCAGGTTAAAAGCCCGAGCTTTGAAATCAGGTGAATATGAGGAGATTGAATCCCCATTTCATCTTTCACTCAATCTCTTTGCAGGGATTCTCTATCTGCAGAATGAGAATAACTCCTTGAAGTTGTGAAGATAAAATGAGCTACTAATGTATGTAAATTTTATCATTGTCTGGATAAATATTCAATAAATGATGATGATTATTTCTGCATTTTCGATCTATTCATTAGACAGGAGTTAGAGAACTAAGATTTTCCCTGGTTGTTCCGTTACCAGCAGAGATTCTTTTAGAAGGCCAAATTACTTCTTTCATCTACTTAATTACTACTTTTATCAATACACTCATGCCCAAGACTATCCTGTAAAACTCTAGACCCATACTTTCAACTGCCTAGCCAACATCTACAGCTGGATATCTGAAAAGCATCTAATCTTAACAGGTCTGTGTTCCTGATACCTTCCCTTCCTCTCAAAGCTCCTGCCCCAGCACTCTTAAGGCTTTCCCAATTTCAGTTAACGGCAACTCCATTTTTGCAGCTGCAGGAGAAAAAACCCTTGAAGTTACCCTTAACTCCTCTCTCTCACCCTCAGTAAATCCTCTTTGTTCTATCTTTAAAATATATTCAGAATAGGAGAACTTTTGCCACCATCCTGGTCTGTTATGGTTAATTTTATATGTCAACCTGGCTGGGCCACGGTGCCCAGATATTCAGTCAAACAGTATTCTGAATGCTTCTATGAAGGTGTTTATCGGATGAGATAAACATCTAAATCAGTGGACTTTGAAAAAAGCAGATTATGCTACCCTTCATAATGTAGGTGGGCTAAATCCAATCAGCTGAAGTTTTTTTTTTTGAGACAGAGTTTCACTGTGTTGCCCAGGCTGGAGTTCAATGGCGTGATCTTGGCTCACTGCAATCTCCCGAGTTCAAGCAATTCTCCTGCCTCAGCCCCCCAAGTAACTGGGATTACAGGCGCATGCTGCCATGCCCAGCTAACTTTTTTGCATTTTACTAGAGACGGGGTTTAACCGTGTTGCCAAGGCTGGTCTCAAACTGCTGAGCTCAGGCAATCCACCCACCTCAGCCTCCCAAAGTGAGAGGATTACAGGCATAAGCTACCGTGCCTGGCCTCAGATGAAGTTTTTACTAACACAGACTAAACCCCTGAAAGACGGAATTCTGGCAGGAGACTGCCTTTGGACTCGAATGGCAACTCTTCCTTGACTCTCCAGCTTGTTGGCCTACCCGGCTTATACTTTAAACTCAACAAGCCTCTACAATTATGTGAAGCAACTCTTATAGTAAGTCTCTCAATCTCTCTCTCCACACACATCCGCCCTCATGCTAGGCTGGTCATGCTTCTCTGGAGAACTCTAACACACAGTCCAAATTATTATTAACTCTCACCCAGATCACTGTGGTAATCTCTTAGTTTTCTGTTCCTGAATTCTTGTCTTGCTGTAACCTACACTAAGCAGATTTTTTAAAGTCTGTTTTTTAATCAAGCCAAATTTTGATGACTAAAGTTAGTATAAGTTTGAATTGTAGTAATATAGTTAATAATTACTTCATTTTATCTTATTATGATTTATTTATCGATGAAACAGTAATTATCAACTATGAACCAAACACAAGAGCTATAAAAATTATTAGAATATGGGTCATGCCTGGAGTCTCGAGTGTCTAGATATATATCATACATAATATATATAGAATCTATATAAGCAGATATATATTTTAAAAATTATAATACAGTGTGATAAATACAGTGATAATGAATAAAGTTCAAAGAAAATAAAACATCCACTTACATTAAAAAGTTGTTTTTCAGCATAAGTTCTAATCTGTCCTTGGTTAAAAAAAAAAAAAAAGACAGAAAATTTAAAAAATGTAATTTTATTCATTATGTATAATTAACACATTAAAGAGCAGATATATTCGGCTTTATCTACAAAATTAATTACCTTTTGGCCAGGAGCTAAGAATTTGTAACAGAGATTAACATCTTCAGGACAATTTGAGAGAACCATCATTGTTGTAGCCTTGAAGAGTTTCTCCATAACCTAAGAGAAATCAAACAGAATCACTTGACAAGTAAAAAACTTTATATGAAAAGCCTGTTCAGGGCTCAATGAGGACTGCAATTCAGGCTTTAGCAACTATAAATCCACGAAGTCATTTAATCCTTGAATGTATCACAGAAAATTGGTTCAGTTTTCCAGGCATCTCAATTTCCTTGGTGGGTGGCAGGGAGGAAGAAAAAAGGAAAAATGTTTTAATCTTATGTTGACAGTTTCAATGCTGGTAAAGAAGTGGGATGCCAACTGAACAGCTATAACTGATCAATGTCTCTCTAAATTTCAATAAACTCACTTGAAGAATCAGGGTAATAATAGCACCTAACTTACAAGATGGTTGACAGAATTAAATGAGATAAACCATGTGTCAAACTTAGCTTAGTACCTGGCTCAGAGAAACATCCAAGAAACATCAGTTGTTGTGAACAGTAAGAATATTTTGAAAAGTGGTTTGTTCAGTCATTGGTAAATGAAAGTAAACTTTACAAAACAATGGTATATGTAAATATAAATCTAGACACTTTTGCTTTCCTAATGCCCAAAGTAAAAATAGCATGAAGCAACATACAGTAAGAATCAGTATATAAGGACTGATTCTGAAGACCAGCCTGGTCCACAGGGCAAAATTCCATCTCTACAAAAATAAAAAAACAAAACTTAGCTGGACACAGTGGTGTGTGCACCTGTAGTCCCAGCTTCTCAGGAGGCTGAGTTGAGAGGACCACTTGAGCCTGTGAGGCTGAGGCTATAGTTAGTCATGATCATGCCACCGTAACTTCAGTCTAGGTAACAAAGTGAGATCTTGTCTCAAAAAACAACAAAAAAATTACCATAGGTGCCCAAGGAAGACTCATAATAGAAACTTTTTCTTAGAAGAGAAAAAGTGACTGGAATGGAAAATATTTCTAAAATCTTTTTATTCGTAACATTCTCAGTTTTAAATCAATGACACAATATTAGGTCTTATAAATGTTGTATTCATAAAGAGGCACATAAGACTAAAGTACAGGTGGCTGGGCATGGTGGCTCATGCCTGTAATCCCAGCACACTGGGAAGCTGAGGCAGGCGGAGGATCATGAGGTCAGGAGTTTGAGGCCAGCCTGACCAACATGGTGAAACCCAGTCTCTACTAAAAACACAAAAATTAGCCAGGTGGGGTGGCATGCGCCTGTAATCCCAGCTACTCAGGAGGCTGAGGCAGAAGAATTGCTTGAACCCGGGAGGCAGAGGTTGCAGTGAGCTGAGATCACACCACTGCACTCCAGCCTGGGCAACAGAGCGACACTCCATCTCAAAAAAAATAAAAGAAGAATACAGTACAGGCTGCCTTAAAGGCAGGTAGATTCTTTTCCTCTGTTGCATAGTAGTACATCCTCTTGAGGCTAGAAGCATAGTGGAGATATAACTGTCTACTTAGGTACACTAATATAATCAGACATAGGAAAACACTTAAATACCAGCGACAACCAGATCTATTTGATATTAGTCATTGTTAGTGGCATTTATTTATTTATTTATTTTTCAGACAAGGTCTTGCTCTGTCACCCAGGCTGGAGTGCAGTGGTATAATCACAGCTCACTGCTGCCTTGACCTCTTGGGCTCAAGCGATCCACCTACCTCAGCCAAGCACACTCAGATAATTTTTTTTAGTTTTAGTAGAGATGAGGTCTCGCTATATTGCCCAGACTGGCCTCCAACTCCTAAGCTCAAGTGATCCTCCCTCCTCAGCTTTCCACGGTACTAGGATTATAGGCATGAGCCACTGTACCTGGTCTAGTGGCATTTACACAGACATCGTGCTAACTTATACTGCATTTCTGGTTTATTTTCTTACTTTTTTTTTTTTTTTTTTTGACACAGAGTCGCCCAGCATTGGTGCAATAGCTCACTGCAACCTCCGCCTCCTGGGTTTAACCAATTCTCCTGCCTCAGCCTCCTGAGTAGCTGGGATTACAGTGTGTGCCACCCTGCCTGGATAATTTCTGTATTTTAGTGGAGACAGGGTTTCACCATATTGGTCAGCTGGTCTCAAACTCCTGACCTCAAGTGATCCACCTGCCTTGGCCTCTCAAAGTGCTGGGATTATAGGTGTGAGCCACCACACCCAGCCTATTTTCTTACCTTCTATTACTATGGTCATTTATCCCTTCAACCAACATGTACATCTAATGAAGAAAAAAAATTGATGAGCATGTGGTTATCGTGGTTATCTAAGGCACTGACCATGGAAAACAGCAATGACTACTAAATTTGGTGGGAGCAGGGGTGGGGTGGCAAAAAGAATCAAAAGACTAGATAATAGTAAAGATAAATCTGAATGGAATAAAAAGAATTCAAGTAAATTTTCTAAGGATTTTACTTCCTAAAAAGAGGAGATTTTTTTCTTTTTTGAGACAGAGTCTTGCTCAGTCACCCAGACTGTTGCAGTGGTGCCATCTCAGCCCACTGCAGCCTCTGTCTCCCAGGTTCAAGCAATTCTCCTGCCTCGGCCTCCTGAGTAGCTAGGATTAGAGGCATGTACCACCACACCCAGGCAATGTTTGTAATTTTTTTATAGAAACATGGTTTCATTATGTTGGCCAGCCTGGTCTCCAACTCCTGGCCTCAAGTAATCCGACTGTCTCGGCCTCCCAAAGTGCTAGGATTACAGGCATGAGCCACCACGTCCAGCCTAACTTTTTATTTCACATAAAAAAATATATAAGGTAAACCATTAAAAATAATGAAAACAGAATCTATAGATTCTAAACTAGTGGAGGAAAAGAAAGGAAAATAAAGAAAACCACACGAATCCAACGGGGAATGTAAGAGGGGCATAGGAGTAAGGAATATCTTGGTGAAAGGAGAACAGCAGGAGGCTAAAGGTCCTTCACACGGAGCCTGTAATACCTTCAATTCATCAGGGAGATAAAGAAATTACTAAGTAACATATGATTTATACAGGCTCACATGCCTCAATCACTTGAAGAAAGCTAATACACATTGGGAGGAATAAAGAGCAGGTGGATTAGATGATAGGGACACAATACATCCATCTGTAAGATGAAGACTTTGACCACTGGGGTTGTTACAGCACTGCCTTTCCTGAGAAGTATATTCCCAGCAGCAGAAGGAAGACTTGACATTCACACTATACTCGACAAATATAGTTGAAAAAAACCCAGAAACCTAACAGAAGGGTTAGGTTTTTAAATGTATATGTGGAGTATAGTGTGAATGTCGTCACGCTATACTCCACATAACACATTTTTAAGATATGAGTTATCTTAAAAATGATAACTCATCATATCTTAAAAAGATAACTCATATCTTAAAAATGTGTAAATTAATTGTACTATAATAGCAATACTTAACTGCTTATAGCTCATAAGGAGAAAATATTCTTTGTTAGAATATTCTGATTTAATATTTAAGAGACTGCTCTGTACTAAGATACTAATTTCTAAGGTATATAATTTACAAAAGGAAGGAAATTAAGAGAGGCAGGGGATTACTTTTGAGGAGAGCACACTTCTTTTTGTCTTTAGGAAAAAAGTATATATCACAATTAACCAAATCATTTGACAACAGTATATGCCCCAAGTACCACCAGTGGAGTACCAAATAAATAAGAACTCGAGTAGCAAATCATGACACCAAAACATGAATATTCTTATTTGATTGTCAATTTATTACTAGCTTCATGAAGATCAACAGTAAGACTCAGTCATCATAGTGAACAGGTAACCTACAGAATGGGAGAAAATTTTTGCAATCTATCCATCTGACAAAGGGCTAATATCCAGAAAAGAACTTAAACAAATTTACAAGAAAAAAACAACCCCATCAAAAAGTGGGAGAAGGATATGATAAGATACTTTTTTTTCTGAGATAGAGTCTCGCTCTGTTGCCCCGGCTGGAGTGCAGTGGTACCATCCCAGCTCACTGCAACCTCCGCCTCCTGGGTTCAAGCGATTTTCCTGCCTCAGCCTCCTGAGTAGCTGGGATTACAGGCACCTGTCACCACGCCCAGCTACTTTTTATATTTTTAGTAGAGATGGGGTTTCACCATTTTGGCTAGGCTGGTCTTGAACTCCAGACCTCGTGATTCACCCACCTCGGCCTCCCAAAGTGCTGGGATTACAAACGTGAGCCACAGCACCCGGCAAACATACACTTCTTAAAAGAAGACATTTATGCAGCCAACAAACATATGAAAAAAAGGTCATCATCACTGGTCATTAGAGAATGCAAATCAAAACCACAATGAGATACCATCTCCCGCCAGTTAGAATGGCAATTATTACGAAGTCAGGAAACAATACATGCTGGCAAGGCTGTGGAGACGCTTTTACACTGTTGGTGGGAGTGTAAATTAGTTCAACCATTGCGAAGACAGTGTGGTGATTTCTCAAGGATCTAGAATCAGAAAAGCATTTGACCCAGCAATCCCATTACTGGGTATGTACCCAAAGGATTTCAAATTATTCTACTATATAGACACATGCACAGGTATGTTTACTGCAGTACTATTTACAATAGCAAAGACTTGGAGCCAACCCAAATGCCCATCAATGATAGACTGGATATTGTGATAGACTGGATACTGTATGCACCATGGAATACTATGCAGCCATAAAAAAAAAACAAGTTTGTGTCCTTTGGTGGGACAGGGTGAAGCTGGAAGCCATCATTCTAGGCAAAACATGGGAAGAGAAAACCAAACACTGCATATTCTCACTCATAATTGAGAGCTGAACAATGAGAACACATGGATACAGGGAGGGGAACATCACACACTGGGGAGTGTTGGCGTGGGGGACAAGGGGAGGGAGAGCATTAGGACAGTATCTAATGCATGTGGGGCTTAAAACCTAGATGAGGGGTTGATAGGTGCAGCAAGCCACCATGGCACATGTGTATCTATGTAACAAACCTGCAAGTTCTGTTTCTGCTGTTTCTGCACATGTTCCCAGAACTTAAAGTAAAAAAAAAAAAAAAAAAAT